ATTTTATCGCTACTTCAAATCAAATTATTGCTCTATATGTATACTGCATAACTAATGAAGGGCCATAACTCTGTAATGAAGGGTCTGGTCTGAACAAGGCAACAAATCATCTTGGTATTAATGGTTCCCATAAAGTTTAATTGAATTCCAGCTAGTAGTTGCAGAGACGTAGCTCTATATGCATACTGCATCACTAATCAAGGGCCATGACTCCGAGTTAGTGTCTGACCGGAACAAGGCGATGATATGCGCATCTCCTCTTGTTTTTGAAGGTTCCATAAAGTTGGCCCTATATGCATACTGCATAACTAATCAAGGACCGGTACTCTGAGTTAAAGTGTCTGAACAGAACAATGCGACAATTTGCACATCTCCTCTTGGTATTGAAGATTCCTGTTAAGTTTCGTTGAATTTCAGCCAGTAGTTGCTGAGAAGTACTGTAGCACGGAAACGATTATTGCGCTATATGCATACTGCATAAGTAATCAAGGACCATAACTGTGAGTTAAAGTGTCTGATCGGAACAAGGCGATTATATGTATATCTCCTCTTGGTATTGAAAATTCCAATAAAGATTCGTTGAATTCCAGCCGGTAGTTGCAGAGAAGTAGCATCGAAACAATTATTGCTCTATATGCATACTACATAACTAATCAAGGACCATAACTCTGAGTTAAAGTGTCTGACCAGATCAAGACAACAATATTCACATCTCCTCTTGGTATTGAAGGTTCCCATTAAGTTTCGTGGTATTCCAGCTAGTAGTTGCAGAGAAGTAGCGCGGAAACGATTTTTGCTCTAGTTAAGGGCCATAACTCTAAGTTTAAGTGTCTGACTTGAACAAGGCGATGATATGCACATCTCCTCTTAGTATTAAAGGTTCCCATAAAGTTTCATTTAATTCCAGCCAGTAGTTGCAGAGAAGTAGTGGAAACGATTTTTGCTCTATATGCATAATGCAAAACTAATCAAGGGCCATCACTCTGAGTTAAAAGGTCTGAATAAAACAAGCCGATGATATGCGCATTTACTCTTGATATTGATGATTCCGATAAAGTTTCATTGAATTCCAAACAGTAGTGGCAGAGAACGAGTCCGGAAACGAAATTCGGACGTTTGGACAGACGGACAACGCCAAAACAATATCCCCCGATATATCGGCGGGGGATAATTACTTATATTATCGAGTTATTTTTTTTTGAGGGGGGATGTTATATTTTTATTATTATTAAATTGCAAGTATTAGTATTATCACTTTCCCCATTTTAGGTATATCAAAACTAAATAGTATTTTTGCTTAATTGATTTTTTTTATCTTCAAACAGAAACAAACAAAAAATCAATAATGTTACTGCTTTATATTTTAGAATCAAACGCTGTAATAAATATATCACAAATTTAATGATATAAATATTTTTTTCAATTACTTTTCATTCGATTAAACGACAGTTTAATTGAGTTGATCCATTTATTACAGCAGAATTTCAAGATGAATTGTACACCAAAGTTCAGTTTAGACGATGAAATCATTGTTGTTTATCTACTCCTTCAAAACCACTTGCGAATGCATTATTTCTTCAGACTTTCCTTGGACACAAACCGCACTAAAAATGATGGTTTTCATTGCCATAAATAGCTGTCTGATAAGCTGATGTTTCATATGCCATTCCTGCACAAGAACACAATATCAAATTACAAGCAACCATTAACGTTTTGTAAAGAAGCAAATAACAGCAGAAATGCATTTCTGTTTTGTCATCATTCGAACGGTACGAGAAGAATTTCAAAATAAACCCTAGACTAAGCATTTTACTTGATTGAATTTTACATTAAAGAGTTTAGTCACGGTGGTGTTTGACTGTGCTTGTTTGAAATATTTACCTTAATGTACTGTAATGCAAAAACACGCTTGGAACTTGGAAGTTTTCAAATATTTTTATCTCCTTAGTAAAACGTGGCGTTGTTCTAATGCATAACTTGTTTCTTTATTTATGTGTCTTTAACAACTATAAAAGTGCATTAAAAGCATAATTATACTAAACAAATGATTCTAAAGTCGTTTTAAGAGGTAATATTGATAGCATAATATTATTACCAAAATTAGATGTCTTAAAACTAAAGTAACAAAATATATGACTGTGTTAGTCCAACAATTAAATCTTTGTCATATTTGGCTTTCTGAAGCGCTCCTTCGCTAACTTGCTATGAAATCAGACCATAAAATTTCACAGATTAAAATAACTTTTTACAAGGACAGACATACGTATTTGTACTTTCACCGATAAAAAAACACGTCATTTTATCTATTAATAAGTTGAATTTCCTTGGCTGAAGTGCATAAAAATTGATATGAATTTTCCCCACAAAACCAATGATCAATGTATATTTTTAGAAATTGTGATGAAACTGTCGTGTGGATCTGTCCCGTATATTCTTTGGCATTAATAAAACAAATAAAGTAAATATAAACATTCACAGGAAGTTTTACAGTTTTAGGCTAGAAATATTATCTAAAAATCAAACGATATAAGGTTTTTTCATGATTGTCTCATTGTCTCGTAATATAAATATTAAACCTATCGATTGGCAACGTAGATCGTTTATACACATAGAATTTATTTTATAAATGTCTACAACAAACGAAGTATTCTCAATATTAAAACACATTTGTCAATATGTAGTAAACTTCGGACGTTTCATCACGCGATACTGCTGTAAGTAAGTCAAATCTGCAAACAGTGCCAATTTATCTAAATAAACACGCTAATAAAAACTGCGCACTCAGAGGACAAAACACGCATTAACGGATACATTCTCGTTTTAATGCGAGACAAAGGGCGCAATGTATAAACACCATAATAAAATGACGGTTGTTATATATGGAAACGGAACTGCCAAATGACGTAACACTAGCACAAGGAAAGCATTGCATGTCGCACAAGCAATGACTTTACTAGTTTATTTAAAGCATTCCAAGTAACGAAACGCCGAATTACTGATTTTGATGTATACTTTAATGCAATTTCTTTTCGTGCTTTAACGTCTTGAATATCATGCCGTAGTTTTGAGATGTTGAAATCGTTAATTAATTGGGTCATTCTATATTTTTTGCCACCCCCTTGTCCAAAACCTTCATATTTAGCTAATACAAATAAATGCACATTTAGAAATATATAAAGAAAGTACTATGTAAGTGCAATCAGTTCGGATTTACTCTTATGTGAGCGTAAAACACTTTTAACTATATACATATTTTATAAAAACTGACAAAATAAAATGAAACTTGCAAAAAATGCATGTCCCAGTTCCTAGGTGGCATAATTTGTGTTTAATTATTATTAAATAAATTGTCATTTTGATGACAGTTATTATATATACTTAAAAAAAGATATGGCATTTGATAATTCAAACATTTTCACTAAAGTACATGCTTAAATATTTGACTTGTTATGTCACAAAAACCGTCTAATCAATTAAATATTATCTCCGTAACATTTTAATAAAAATCAGTGAATATTGAATTGCCTCCCTTGAATACTCCTTTTATGTGACGTCATACAACCTTTGAAATGTGGGAAAAATTTGAACGCCATTTTGTGGGCTAGATGGCAGAAACGGTAGGAGACATGTTGATTGGTAAGTACATTCTTTGCGTACATTTAAGGAACATCATTGCCGTACACTGTGTAAATGTATAACTGACATAAAATGCATAAATTTTTAAATATCTACTTAAGTATTCTATTGTAATCTTAATTATTAGACATGATTCTCAATTGTAAACACTCATAGGGGCTTCCGAAAATAGAACTTGATCATATTTATCATTCCCGTAACCTGTTAACTAATTACGGTAATGAGGATAGTGTTACGGTAATGAAAGGTTTCAGGTCTTATGATTATATATCTATAAATGAGCAATGTTATATAGGATTAAGAGAATTCTGAATCATAATCAAATTCAATAATAAGCAGTATTATTAATCAAATATAACATGTTAAATTAGAGATATCCTTATAATGGGAAATATAAAAAAAAACAAATTAAATAGGGAAATTAGAAAAACAACGATAACTAGATCTATATGAAAATCCAAACAATAGACATAAAATTTTAGTCAGCACTATTAATGTAGATATTTATTATAATAACTCTGAAACTTCATACATGTAAATAATGAAGATACAATTTTAGCAATAATAAAAGTAATATAACTATAATAAATATAATATTATATATTATAAATGATAATATTTTTATCAGTATCATAATGATAATAAATTTGTTTTAATTGTTAATTTTTATTTATCTTAAACAATTCATAACCCTTTTATAGACTAAATATAATTAAATCTGCATGAAATTTTACATAATATATCAATTTTTCAGCTTTACAACGTGAAGTTGACGCAATGAACAAGTGTCTTGGTAGTCTTCAGATACAATTTACTGAGCTTTTGCGTGGTGATAGTGAAAGAAATTTTGAATGGGCCTGCAGAGCTATTACCTTGTTTGAACATATCCTTGACACTTAAGATTTACTTCAATTGAAAAGGAGACAAATTGCACAATTAGGAAGTCAAGCAAGGAAAGGGTAGCTAGGTAGACTTTTGTTTGTTTGGATTTTTACGGCACGTCAACACATAACTGGCCATATCGTGCCGAATGCTATAATTGGCTTAAAATATTATGTAAAAAAAATTGTTAATGACAATAGAAATGAGCCAATTAGATCCTAGAATACAAGTTTATCTCTTTTAAATAATCAATTATGTTTTTTGATGGAATTGTATTAAAAAGTTAGGTGGAGGGAAAGAATAAGGGCTGATTTGGTTAAATATGAACAGTATAAGCGAAAATAACATGAACGATATCTAAAGAAAGAGGTCTTGTTAGATCAATCGAAGATATGACTCCTTGAGAACAAAATAAGACTAGTAGAGCTTGGAGAATAAGTCAGGGGAAAATAACCAAAAGACTCAAATAGTGGAAAGAGATGATGACTCCACCAACAACACCAGATGAACAAAGATCAGAAAACAGACGTCAGCAGGCCGCTCAAAACAATGGCCGAAGAAAGAAGCTTAAAGACAGGGCCAAGGCATACAGAAGAATTATAGAATTAACAACTGCATTGAAAGAAATACGCCTGAAGAAATGCAATAGACCAAGGGAAATTTACGTGTAAAGGGAAAGCATAAGGAAAGAAATCTCCAATAAATTTGTCGTCTTGGACACAAACAGAACACAAGAAAAAATTGAATTAAAGGGAGTCATATAGAAAAGAAGATACAAGAAAAAAAACCCTATAACAGAGGGGCAGTTTGATTTAAAACACTCATATGTGGCACATCGCTCGTTTTGCAGAAATAAAATTTAAGAAAAATATCGATCGAAAGTCTTTGTGTACCAAAAAAAGGTTGAAGGGCACATCGAAATAAATCATTGAGAAAATTCCTACTAACTCATAAGAACGATGATTAACTTTGAAATAGCAGATGATAACCGGAGTTCAAGAAGGGTAGAAAAGGGCTGTATAAAGAGCGAACTCGAATTACAAAATTTGGATGTAAAAACAGATTTGACTTCTGAATGTCGGCATCATAAATATACAATAAAATAATCAGTCAGAAACAGGCAAGAAGATATTTTTAAGAATATTTTGCAGATTTTAACCTTTTTGGGCTATCAAGCCAACGTCAGCAGACAGACAGGCATGCCTATGTAAAATAAATGACAATCTCCATATGAAATTAATACTTGCATTTTCACCAAACATGTACGAAACGAAACGAAAAATAAATAAATTGGTGAAAAGTATGACCTGTGACAATTCTCTAATTTTACGATGGATTCGATAATTAATAAAGCTACAATCATAGATTCATTAAGTAAAATGTCAAGTTTTTTTTCAATTTTGCCGTGTTGGGCTTTCTTTAGGGATTCTTTATTTATCTATTAAATGTTTTGTAATTTAAAAAAAAACTATTATTAATTATTTTGAAAAATTAGGCAGGGAAAGGAAATACGGGGGAATGAAAAGGTAATGTTTTGACAAATAATTTTTTAAATACTCAAACCTTAGGGGTAACTTTTTAACAGAAACGTCTGATCGTAAGTTTTAAATTTTTGGGTTTTAACGGCAAATTGACTTTAAAACTGGCTATACCGGCGCCCGAACAGAAATAATTTTTAAACAAAAATTTTAAATTTAAAAAAGTGCAAGATAAAATGGCATTTAGGAAAAGGCCCCGACAGGGGATCTTTTTTATCAAAATAAAAAAAAAACACCATCGCCTGATAAAAGATGACAAAGTGTTACTTTACTGTGTATTCGACAACTTATAATAACCATATGACCATGGCGGTTTGCAAGAGATAGAGATGGCGACACGTTAAGGCAAGGGTTTATATCCTGAAGTTTGTTAAACATTGCTTTGTCCCAATTTGATTACTTTTGTTTGTTTGTTTGTTTGTTTGTTTGGATTTTTACGGCACGTCAACACATAACTGGCCATATCGTGCCGAATGCTATAATAGGCTTAAAATATTATGTAAAACATTGTAAATGACAATAGAAATGAGCCAATTAGATCCCAGAATACAAGCCTATCTCTTTTAAATAATCAATTATGTTTTTTGATGGAATTGTTTTAAAAAGTTCTTTGAGTGAGTTTACAGAATAAAATCTATTACGGGCCTGCGAAAAAATCATGACATTCAAGAAGAAATGCTTGACAGTAAAATTTTCATTACAACCCTACACAGAAAGGGGCATTGTCATTTGTGAGGAGATAAGAGTGGGTAATGTTAGTGTGTCCAATTCGGCATCGAAGAAGAACTGTTTGATCACGGCGGTTTGACAGAGATAGAGATGGTGACATATCAAGAGATGGGTTTATATCGTGAAGTTTATTAAAAACGGCATTGTCCCAATTTGCTTTCCATTCAGATGATACGAATTTATTTATAGCCGGTCCAAAATCACAAGCAGGTAACAATAAGTCATATTTTTTTTTTTAAATTTAATGTTTGTTTAGCTAAAGCATCTACAATTTCATTTCCATTCAGATGAAAAAGTTTATTTACGGAATGCAAACAATTTTAAATCATTATATGAATTGTATAAAAAAATCGATTTCAGACCAGGGATATACTATTTACTCCTTCAAAAGTACTTGCACAAAACTTGTTTTTACATATTGCCCTCGGACGGAAACTACACTTAAATGGGTCGTTTTCATTGTCATTTATAAATGTCTGTAAAAGCTGCACAATATCAAAAAAATACCATAAACGTTTTGTAAAGAAGATAAAATTACAGCACTGCAGAATTGCGCTTATGTGTTGATAACGTTCATATGGTGGTTCCAGAATTATCCTAAAATAGCAAAATCCCAAAGACACAACTTTTCACTAAATTACTTAACTTTTTCAAAATTCTATAGAATGTGTTTAAGCATATTATGAATATATATCTTAATACTTAACATTCATTGTAAACTTAAAACAGATGCTTATAATACGTTGTCACTTAGTGCGGGAAACCATATAGTTGATGTTTTTAAGAACTTCATGTGAATAATACAATTCTTATTTTTTAAAAAGAAAACATTAAAAGCGAATAAATTTATAACCATAATATTTTATTTATACACACAATTATAAGGATTCAAATAATTATTTAATTTATTATATGTATAATGGACAATATCAAAAAGTCAATCTAAAATAGTTTTTATTATTAATTTTATAATAATGTCGACACAAATACAAATATATGCTTAGTATTAAAAGTTTATTATTTTATTTGAAAATATTGACAATTTAAGTTAAGCATTTGTATCAGTTATATAAAACAACGACCGATATTTTTTCGACAGCTTCAGGTGAATTTATCTTTCATTAAAAAACAATCGTTTTGAAATCATATTAGAAAATAAAACTAAACAGAAAAACAAAGAATATCATATCTGAAAGTTTTGGTTTGCGGTACTTTAAGTTTTTACTTTTTGGCATTTCTCTAGTTAGGTGGTTCCATTATTCGTACTTGAATAATGTTGATTTTGTTTGTTTGGATTTTTATGGCACGTCAACACATAACTGGCCATATCGTGCCGAATGGTATAATAGGCTGAAAATGTTATGTTAAACTTTGTAAATGACAATTAGAGCCTAGAATACAGGTTTATCTCTTTCAAATAATCAATTATGTTTTTTGATGGAATTGTATTAAAAAAGTCTTTGAGTGAATTTACAGGATAAAATCTATTACGGGCCTGTGACAAATCATGACATTCAAGAAGAAAAATGCTTGACAGTAAAATTTTTCATTACAACCTACACAGAAAGGGGCATTATCATTTGTAAGGATATAAGAATGGGTAATTTTAGTGCTTTCCAATTCGCATCGAAGAAGAACTGTTTGATCTCGGCGGTTTGACAGAGATAGAGATGGTGACACAAGAGATGGGTTTATATCGTGAAGTTTATTAAAAACGGCATTGTCCCAATTTGCTTTCCATTCAGATGATACGAGTTTATTTATAGCCGGTCTAAAATCACAAGCAGGTAACAATAAGTCAGTTTTTTTTAAAATTTAATGATTGTTTAGCTAAAGCATCTACTTTTTCATTTCTTCGTATTCCTACATGACTTGGAATCCAATATAATTTAACATATTTTGTTTTTAGTATATCATGAAATCGTAAAAGAAGTTTCTTAACCATGATATTGTCAGATTTTTTATTTTTAATGGATATTAAAACAGAAAGCGAGTCAGAAAATATTACAAATTTATCGTGTGTATGCTGTGCTATGTATGACAATGCTAAATCGATAGCTTTTGCTCCAGCAGTAAAAATTGATGCATTATCTGGTAATCTCATACTAGATGTAAAATTATTTTCAAACACAGCCGCACCTACTTTGCAACCTTCTTTTGAACCGTCTGTATAAATATGTATAAAATTTTCATGTTCTTTCTTAATTGCTAGAAACTTCTCTTTTAAATGTTCATGTGAATTTGGTGACTTTTTTATATTTGAAAGGTTAATATTTATTTCAGGGGAATTATAAGTCCAAGGTGGAACATCCTCATCGTCAATTTGAAGGATACTGACAGGATTAATTTTAAGTTTATCTAAATCATCTTTTAAACGAAGGCCTAATGGTTTAATTTCCTTTGGTTTGTTAATTATATAAATATAAATATGTCTTGTAATATGCAGGTTTCATAACCTCTGATCCCCATTTAAAATTCCATTTTGTTAAGTTCCGCCCATTGTTTTCTTGTTTAGGACAAACGCTTTCTTTTACTTGGCGACCTTACGCCGCTTCTCATTGGATGACACTTACTTGTATTATTGAAGGTTCCATAATACCGTATGAACACATCTGCGGATCTAAATTGAAATTGTTACTATTTTTGTGTATAAATGTTGAATTCTACTAAAGCCGGTGTTAGTGGGCGAGGACGGTAGTTTGCACTTGACAGTACCGTCCATGAACAGCGATAATCAAACAGAGCCTGCAACATTTTCAATTCTGCCGTGTTGGGCTTTCTTTAGGGATTCCTTTTTTCTCTATTTTATTGAAAAAAGTTCGTACTTCACTTCAGTGTTGTTATATTTTCTGGTCCTTCGGGATCATTGATGCCAAAACTATAAAGTGTTGAGAATTGAGTACCGCTCAAGCTGGTGCTAGGGGGCGTGAGGGATGTTGCACTTATACATTATCCCTCATGTACAGACCCAATAAAACCGAGTCTGCAATTCTTATGTTATTTTGTTGTGATTGATGCTTCCGAGGGATCACTTTGTTTCCAGAATTTTATAAAACTGAAAAAGGGTTAGTTAAGAAAACTGGTCATATATTTCATCCATCTATATATATCTATGTTCATCGTTATATCATCTTGTAATAATAATCGGGATATAATTCTGATTTTTTTGCATAATATTAGATATAGTAATAATATGTTTACCCACTTATCCGGAAATATTAACATTTTTAAGTTGTAGAGATACCCTTTTTTCACTCTTTGAACACTAAAAGATACATGTTGATTTGCAAATGTTTCTTAATGCAAGAGTTTTCAAAAAACAAAGTATGTCCAATTCGGCATCGAAGAAGAACTGTTTGATCACGGCGGTTTGACAGAGATAGAGATGGTGAAATGAGCAAATTAGATCCTAGAATACAAATCTATCTCTTTTAAATAATCAATTATGTGTTTTGATGGAATTGTATAAAAAAAACATAATTGATCTAATTTGCTCATTTCTATTGTCATTTACAATGCTTTACATAATATTTTAAGCCTATTATAGCATTCGACACGATGTGGCCAGTTATGTGTTGACGTGCCGTAAAAATCCAAACAAAAAAAAATCGTTACATAAATTTGTAATCATTTTCAAATTTATGTAACAAAAATGTGCCATAGTCATACTGTCTTATGCTTCGTTGCAATGAAATACAAGAGTCGGTCGAACCGGGTGATGCTCCCCGAAAAGGTTTTGAACACAGAGAAGTAGTTCATTGTTGATATCTCTTGTAGTTTCAGAGTTATGTCCCAGACAAAGTTAACAGTGTAAAAATGAAAAAAAGAGCAATAACTCCTAAATGAGGCAAGACAGAGTTAAGGTTCTTATGCATTGCACTTTTACTTCATGAGATCTATATTCCTAAACAATTAATTTTCTTGTTGATACCGCTTGTAGTTTTAAAATTATGTCACAAACAAAGTTTAAAAAAGAACAAAAGGCAATAACCCCAAAATTAGGATAATTTTCGGCATAACACAAGTTAAAGTATTAGACTTGACTGAAATTTTTACTGAAAGCTGAAAGAAGGCTTAGTTATGACTGTGACTGGTAAGTGTTTAAGTATAAAATTAAAATATACCTCTCAGTGTACACGATATGAACAATACAATGTTATCAATATTTGCTAAGTATAACATCTAACCTTAGGAATACTGTCAATATTATTATTTTAACTATAACGTATGTTCATTCATCATAATAAAATTTATAGTTAAAAGTATTGCATCTTAAAACAGTCCTTTCTGATAACGTTGAAGTGCGTAAAACATGGATAATAATTAAATTCACAACATCAATGATCAATATGTAATTGATGAAAAATGTCTTCTGGAGCGACCCAGTAGATTCCTTGTCATTAATAAGACAGAAGTAAATGTTAAGGCAAAGATAAATTAGTAGGCTAGATATGTTATCCGAGTATAATATTCTAATATCGGAAGTAAATACAACGCATGCTTAATTGTTTCAAGCTTTCCTTTTTAATTACTTGCCTCGTAATATCATTCTCTTTGTTCTTATGTTTCTTTTGCCGTTTCCAAGTGAAAATGAAAGCTGAATCTAAACAAGAGATGATATACGATCATACTTAAATAGTTGACAATAAAACACTGAATAAAAAAAGGACTTTCGATTGATTGCAATTGAGGAAACGTATGTGCTCTCATTTATTTATATTTGCATTTTTTTTTTTGACAATTTGTTTCATATTTGTCTTGATGAAATTCTATTAACTAAATTATTACATTTAATTCTGCAATTAGAGATATTCCATATTGTAGGATATCTAAGAAACTTAAATAATTTTCGTTTATGTTCTGTTCTCGGAAATTGATTATTTTCTTTTGGTTTGGTTTGATATGCATGTGTCATGTTTGTTTTAAATGTCAAGCATTATATATAATTTGTAACAACATCAACAACGATGCATTTGTTTTACATGTTGGCTTCCTTTTCATAACATATGACTGAATCTAACATGATTAGCGATACTTTGCACATTTTAAGCATATTTAAACCCTACTCACGCGAAGAATTTTGACATTTGTACAGTACGTGTGTTAAGAATGGAAGAAACAAATCGTGAACACAAAATGATTTCAACATATGTAAAATCGTTTGTATATAGCGCCAATAAACTGCTCGTTTACTCCCTCCCGGAAGCGTCTCCTGTGGATTTTGTCGATGCTTCGCATGCGCCTTTTACTCTTATGTCTCCTTTTGGTTGTATTTCTGGCTACCTGTATTTTAAGGATGTTGATAATTGTAAATGTAATATGGTCGATAGTTTGAGTGTGACAGAAACAATAGTTTTACATTGCAGAGTAATACGTTTTTTTTTTTTTTTGTTTTTTTTTTTGACCAGTAAATTATTAAAACAAGCAAATATGAAATAATCAATTATTAATATATTTACAATTGGTATGAGTGCTTTTGCGTTTCATTTATACTTATTCTCTTTCCTTCATAGTTAAATAGTTGAACGTTAATAGAACACTTTTGTCTTCGTCCTACGTTGTTACATAAACAATATATAGATAACACGTTATAAATCATCTATGAGATGGATCTAAATTTTAAACTTTGATCTATCATCAGGTCAATATAGATAACACAGATTCAAGTCATCCCTGTTCTTCCTTATCTTATTAAGTTCAAAAGTATTTTTGTCTATTTTATAATTTGTATTCACACAGCATGGCGAATTTTTTATTTGGAAACATCATCATTTTTCTAATTTTTCGTTTATGTGATGGGATCTTATTAGAGACTAATGATGAATGTCCAGTTCTTGAACAGCGCTTGGTTGACACTCAAGATAAGGTGAAACTTCTTGAGGAAGAAATAAAGCTTTTGAAGGTAATACTTTTTAAAGCTACTATAAGGCTAAGCTTAAATAAACTAACTTAAGACAATAATAAACCAATTGTGCTGTTGTTCATCTCCTCCCCTTTGTTGCTTTAACATCGCTTCAGTGATCTTCATTCTTCAAATGATATCTACCTCAAAAGCGTGCCGCACAATATTTTCATAAACTTGATAATTTACTAGAACTAAAATTTTATAAAAAAAGAAATAAATTTAACAGATCGCCCTCACCTGACCGACAGTATTGGAATAAAGAAAATTAATTCAAAGGCAGACAGGTAAACGGAAAGGAAAAGATAAAATATGTCTATCAAACAAAAACATAGATGCTTAAGTTAACGATTGGCATATCAAATTATACAGTTAAATAACCATTTAAATCTAAAAAGAATGAATCACAATGTATACTTTTCTTTAGTCTATATCTTCATGTCATTGTCGAGATGGATGGATACATGGCAACGGTTCATGCTACTACATGCCGAATCAAAAGAAGAACTGGAATGATGCACGTGCGTTCTGTCAGCAGCTTGGTGCACACTTAGCAGTGATAGGAGCTCCGGAGGAAGACAAAATTGTTTCAGACTTTCTGACTAGGTATTACAACCCGCTTTTTTATATTTATTCTGTAGGTAACAAGCCTGTAAGTTGTTCTACATTATGTAAATGTTTTTTTACTTATGTCGCAGGTTTAATATTTCCACACTGGATAGAAACAAACTCTGGGCGAAGTTCGATGTATTTATTAATCCCAAGTAAAAATGGTCTAAAAATATAATAGTACAATACATATAAAAATAGATAAATACAGAATCCCAGAAGAAGGCCCAACACGGCAAAATTGAAAATGTTGCAGGCTCGGTTTGATTGAGCCTGTTCATGGACGGTACTGGAAAAGTGCAAGTTACCGTCCACGCCCCCTAGCACCGGCTTAAGCAGAATTCAACATTTAAACATGAAATAGTACAATTTTGAATTTAGAAACATCCGCAGATGTGTTCATACGGCGGTTATCATGGAACCTTCAATGTGACACAGTAGTGCCATTCCATGAAAAGCGGCGTATGGTCCCCAAGTAATAAAAAGCGTGTGCCCTAAACGAGTAAACAATGGGCGGAACTAAATAAAATGGAATTTTGAAAGGGGATCAGAGGTTATGAAGCCTGCGTATCACAGATAGGACGTCAAAAGACAAATTTAAAAAGCAGGCAACATATCCTAAGGGTGATTCAACATCATTCAAGTAGGAATATTGGAACCACCCAACTAGAAAATGCCGAAAAGTTGAAACTAAAAATACCACACGCACAACGATAATGTCGTGCTGAACGATCTTCAAGGATCGAAAATAAAACATCATTGATTAAATGTACGGGGAGACTTTTTACAGCCGCCACACGGCACAAATAACACGGATGTGATCGTAAAATAGATAAATACAGAATCCCTGAAGAAGGCCCAACACGGCAAAATTGAAAATGTTGCAGGTTCGGTTTGATTGAGCCTGTTCATGGACGGTACTGGAAAAGTGCAAGTTACCGTCCACGCCCCCTAGCACCGGCTTAAGCAGAATTCAACATTTAAACATGAAATAGTACAATTTTGAATTAAGAAACATCCGCAGATGTGCAAAATACAATGAAATAAATAACACTATAAACCAATTGACGCGGAATAAGAAAATACAAAAATACATAAATAAGATGTACATTCAATATCTTATATTAATGAAATTATTTCTTACCACAGCGTTTATTGAATATATTTACTTTTATACATAATTTCAATACAAATTGAAATAAATTTAGCAGTAAATCTAATAAATTTAACTTGTTTTACTATACGTCTTATTTGTGATAGATGACTGTAAAGAGTGAGCGGGACAGGAAAAGCAAAAAGTGCTCAGAAATAAAAAACTATTGGATATCTTTCTCACATAGAAATATTTACAACAAATAAAACAATTGGACAAGTATTATCGTACAACATAGAATGAGCGACCAGTGTTCACAATATTGCACGGGTAAGATCGACAATGTACATCAGTGACGGAAATTGTTGAGTTTCATCAATTCAATACCGGAAGTTAAACATACACTCTTAAAACTAAACGCAACCGAATAAAAACGCGCGTGAACGATGCTTTCGCTTTAATAAAACTTTGGAAAACCACAACTGCCATTAACGTATATTTTCAATCTGTGACATTCATAACTACCGCTTTTATGGTGACAAACAGTTTACTTTATATTTTGACAGATTTTATGGTTAAGAGATTAATGAAGAAAGCAAAATGTTAATATAATCACCTTCTGCATGCTTTTCTTAACAGAGCACACAACATGAGCAATGCATACGAGGGTGTAACTTATGTCTGGTTGGGAGGATATGATAGTGTGCAGGAAGGACATTGGCACTGGGTGACTGGTGAACCATTTGTTTACACTAATTGGCGGGATGGAGGACCTAGCAATGGTGGTGCAGGAAGTGAAGAAGACTGCATGGACTGGAGTAACGGTTGGAATGATAACGTTTGTAGTCGTTCCTACTATTTCCTATGTGAGATGTAGCCCTTAACAAACAAGTTATGTCTTGTATCAATTGAAGTTGTTTTTTTTAACCCTGGTTATAGAAGTCGAAATCTCTACATAAATTGAATAAGCTTAATGCTTGAGAATTGATTTGTTATTGACCGTTATCATTTTTGAGAAATGATCACATCAATTTCTGGATCTTAATATTAAAAAAATATATTCTTCAACTTACGAAACAAAATATCCTTAATTATGCGTATATTAGTATCTTTTACATGATATTAGTATCTAAGATTTAAAATATTGACCATACCCCTTGCATTCAGTTTATGTTGTTGGTCCTGGCTTAATAATTACGTATGCTCCCACTACATGAATTGTATTAAGTATGCTAGAGACAAGATTGTAGTTTAATTCATGTGGCAATATATAGTAAGACAATGTCGGTGTTTGATTTATTTGAAAGAATGTTTATGACTCATATAAAGTATAAATTCAAAATAAAGGCAAGAAATCTTTGATTCGTATATTTCTCGGGTCATCTATAGGACATATCTATTTGACTAGTTTTATTTGCAGCTGCATCTAAATAAACCTTTAAGTTCAAAACTGCAAGTATTTTGTAAAAGTGAATAATCATAAAAAGTTAAAAGAAACCATTGGAAAAACGTCATTAAGTCACAAAAGATTTATCTATGCGTATTAAAATGTTTCTAAACAAGTTCAATTATTTTACAGAAAAAGCACTTTTGCTTAACATCATTTTACGAATTATGTACAACAATTTCATTGAAAGTCATTATGATGACAAAATACACTTCTCTTCATAATGTGTCATTATTGTCATTATAAGATAATTTATAATATTTTCAATGGTTTTGCATAGGGTTGCGTTCATTGAACACAACCTTTACATGGGATTTTGTTCGGTATATTTTGGAATTACTCTCCCCAAAATTTCTTTAACCTTTTAAGAGTAAGAACAGCTGATGTTGTCATGCAAACACAGTCAGAAAAATGAAAAGCTGTATAAATAGATACATGTTTTTTTCTCATATCAGTATAGAACAGACAGAACATTTCTTTAAATAGTTTATTTACTAAGAGAATACCCTATCAGTATTTCATGAAATGCTTGCTTTCAAATTTTTACCGTTATACATGAAATCACCATTTAAACAGAGTGTTTATAAATGTTAAAGTAAAGTTTAAATTTCTTGGCGACAGTAAAACATTTTAAAAGCTTAACATTATTTCAATTCTTTATTACAAAATGTAAAAATCTACATTGTTTAACAGATGACAGAAAGTGCAGGATTCAAATCAATCATCCGTGTTTGAACTATAAAAATAGTTTCTGGAAAATAAAAATAACTTACAAATATAGGAAACTAAAACAGTAAAGACATCAATCTTTATTCAGCTGAATATTGCAAGAATACTCTTGACAATTCTTATGGCGATATTATATTACGAATGGCAAACAAACAGCCATGCCTTGCAATGTTATTACAGTTCAAGAATAGGTTATGTCAAAATTCATTACAGAGAAAATAAAACTGATTCTATGTTGGAACAAAATTCTCTTTAAACGTAAATGTTATTCCGTGGCTGTAATAATAGTCTTTGAACAACTGTAAATAGTCGAAGGGTGTAACGGTTTACCGGTTAACCGAAACATTGCAATATGAAAAAAAAATTCGTACCGCGGTACGACTTTTGTATGGGTTGCGTTCATTGAACGCCGCCTTTACTTGTTGATCTTGTTTATCATATTTCAAAAAACCGGTATTTTATAATAATCATTTTTTTCAATTAATCACTTTAGGATTTTGTACAATACAGAAATTCATTTAAATAGCTTTGAATTTGCATCAAAACTCTTTTTTGCGCGAGTAGCAGATATCGAAGTTCTTACGTATACTTTATCTGTGCACGGTACCAGTACTGGCATAAGATACATGCAGTGCGGATGACGATTGCGGACTGTAGGGACAAATTTCAATCAAAATGGACTTTCAAACTTCAAAAAGTTATAATTAACGTGCCCTTCAAAACGGAAAGGTACGGTTGTGCAATAATCAGCAAACTGGGCAGTCGTCGAACAGATCCAGATCGCAGTATCGGCTGCAAAATGGCCGACTCGTTTGACCTTGTACAAAATATGAAAGGAAAAAGTACTGTTTGGCCGCATTTTTCCTTAAACAGGAAACGACAATCAAATGAAACAATTGAAAATATTGGATAGAAAAATTGGAGTTGAGTTTACTGTCATTGTAAAATGAACGTAAAATGATGGGGTGGAACCATTCACAGACACATTTAGAGATACACCACAAAATCATGAAACCAACTTCTTTTACAAATATTTCTTAACAGCCAACTGTTGTGGACATGTTTAAGAAAGCAGAGCAGTACAAGCCTTCGTCCCAGAGAGCTATGTCCATCACAAATAAAGTAAGCTCAATCATTATCAAAGATTTACGACCATTCCGTAAAGTCGAAGACGTAGGGTTTTAAAAACTGGTGCAAGCTTTAAACCCATAATTTTGTCTTTAAGGCGTCCTGTGAACGTTGCCTTTGCCTTGTTCATCTTTAATCTTGTTATTTAAGTTCCGCCCATTGTTTTTTCGTTTAGGGCACACGCATTTTTTTACTTGGGGACCATATGCCGCTTTTCATGGAATGGCACTAACGTGTCACATTGAAGGTTCCATGAATACCGCCATATGAACACATCTGCGGATGTTTCAAAATTCTAAATTTTACCAGTTCATGTTAAATGTTGAATTCTGCTTAAGCCGGTGCTAGGGGGCGTGGACGGTAGTTTGCACTTGACAGTACCGTCCATGAATAGGCTCAATCAAACCGAGCCTGCAACATTTTCAATTTTGCCGCGTTGAGCTTTCTTTTGTTCTTTTTTAACAAAATAGATAAATACAGAATCCCTAAAGAAAAATTCCAAAAATGATGCAAGTTTCCCCCAAAAAAAGCATGCACAACCAGACCCCTGAAGCAAAAATATCTTTGAATCCAAAAACCCTGATCTGACCTTATCCCGAGCAAATCAAAGTCACCAGGCCAACAAGGACAAATATTGAAAGCAGATTTTATGTCGGCTTTTGCCATAAATGCCCTTTTTCCTAAATTTTGGACGATATTGACAGCTTCATCAAAAAATGCGTATTAAACATGTCTAATTTCGGGAGCAATGAAATAATTTACGCTCTCGCCAGTCGGAAATGACAAATTGGTAATGAGCCTCCATCCGCTAGAGCGTTTAGGAACTAAACCAATAGGATTCACTCTTAAATTTGAAATAGGTGGCGTCGGAAAGGGACCATGTAACCAACCCGCATAGCTGCATTTTTTCTTGCGGAGATAATATTTTTGGAAAATACAGGTGTTCTCGGAATAATGAAGTTTAAAATATGATGAACAAGATCGACAGGGAAAGGCGGCGTTCAATGAACGCAGCCCCCACCCGACCCAGCAACAAGCGTCATCGGTTGTGTTAAATCCATTTTTGAAAATATATAAAATAAACAAATCGTCATCTTTGTCGTAGTCAGTTATCTATTATTCTAATACCTTTCATACTTCTAGCTGGAACATTTAGATTAATATTCCAAAGCGTATCAGCTTTGTTTTTAGTTATTTTTCTGTGTCTTTAGGGATTCAGTATTTTTTCTATTTTAGTTGGGTGGTTCCAATATTCCTACTTGAATAATGTTGAATCACCCTTAGGATATGTTGCCTGCTTTTTAAATTTGTCTTTTGACGTCTAATCTGTGATACGCAGGCTTCATAACCTCTGATCCCCTTTCAAAATTCCATTTTATTTAGTTCCGCCCATTGTTTTCTCGTTTAGGGCACACGCGTTTTATTACTTGGGGACCATACGCCGCTTTTCATGGAATGGCACGGAAGTGTCACATTGAAGGTTCCATGATAACCGCCGTATGAACACATCTGCGGATGTTTCTAAATTCAAAATTTTACTATTTCACGTTTAAATGTTGAATTCTGCTTAAGCCGGTGCTAGGGGGCGTGGACGGTAACTTGCACTTTCCAGTACCGTCCATGAACAGGCTCAATCAAACCGAGCCTGCAACATTTTCAATTTTGGCGTGTTGGGCTTTCTTTAGGGATTCTGTATTTATCTATTTTAGTATTCTGTCATATAAAATAACCACTTTACCATCTACTTGTTGTCTTATTTTTCTTGCAAGTTCTGCGTCAGACACCATATCAAATTCCAAACATATATTTTTGATTGTATAACTTGAAGTATCATCTGTTGATTTAATAACTTTGTCATAATCATTGAAAGTAAGTTCATATTCGAGTCTGTTGTAATGGTTGTAAAAAATATGAAAAACAAGATCAACAAGGAAAGGCGGCGTTCAATGAACGCAACTTCCATATGACCCAGCAACAAGAACCAACGGCAAGGAGCCCAGGCGGACGGACCCCAAACATAAAAAGGACAGGGCAACGACACGTTAATCACCAAATGACAAACAATCTGTAACCGACCAGGAATTCAAAGAAAAACCTAGGTCCCATAGGCCTTCTTGGGGCTTGAGCGAATTTAGGTATCTGCGAAGGAGCGGTGGCATTCCTGAAACGGATATTGTTAGGCCTTATATTCGGTGCATAACTTGATTGTCGACCTTGGTATCTAGACGCATTGACATGACAGAATACGACAGGATGATTGCCAAGACACTGTAAACATTTATGAAGAAAAGGGCAAGACCTGTTGTTGCAAACCCTTTGTTGTTAAAGGGGTAACATATCTTAGAGAAAGGGGAAACAAATGTACTACTAAGGACTTGCAACGGCTGCATACAATAGATAAAATACAGAATCCCTAAAGAAAGTCATCCATAATTCTGGATCAATTGTCTCCCATTTTAAAGTTTCATTAACAGACTTTTTCAAACGGAACAGCTTGTTATACTGTGTCATCCATCAAATTTAGTAGTAGCATGCCTGATGTTTGAAATATATTGTAAGGGATTGCCCACTTCTTGTGGATATCTTACAACGTTAATTGACATAAAAATATGAAAGGCATCTCTCCAACTTTTTTGAGGGTTGCTCATTGGAAATAACTATTTCATTACCAACTGTGCTAAGTTTTTGCTTATAAACTGAAGGATTATCAGTTTAGATAATCCTCCGATCACCTTTCAAAATTCCATTTTATTTAGTACCGCCCATTGTTTTCTCGTTTAGGGCAAAAGCATTCTTTTACTTGTGGGACCATAAGCCGCTTTTCATGGAATGGCACTTCTCTGTCACATTGAAGGTTCCATGATAACCGCCGTATGAACACATCTGCGGATGTTTCTTAATTCAAAATTTCACCGTTTCTTGTTAAATGTTGAAGTCTGCTTAAGCCGGTGCTAGGGGGCATGGACGGTAACTTGCACTTTCCAGTACCGTCCATGAACAGGCTCAATCAGACCGATCCTGCAACATTTTCAATTTTGTTGTGTTGGACTTTCTTTAGGGATTCCGTTTTTTCTATTTTATTCTTTTGTAACAGGAGTAAATATTTATTAAATTGTTACGCCATTTAGTAGCAGCATGCCTGATGTTTGAAATATATTTAAGAGATTGTCTACTTCTTGGGGATATCTTACAACGTAAATTGACATTAAAATATGAAAGGCATCTCTCCAACTTTTTTGAGAGTTGCTCATTGGAAATTACTATTTCATTATCAACTATGATAACTTTTTGCTTATAAACTGAAGGATTCTTTTGTAACAAGGAGTAAATATCTATTAAATTGTTACGCCATACCTTTTCACGAACAGACATATGGACGTGTGCACTGATCAAGTTGGAACTATAATCAGAATGTGAAACAGGAATATCACCTGATTCTACCGGAGAAACTGACTTCACCGACGAACATGATCCGGGCGACACAATTTGAGAGGGTCCTACCGATGTCCCATTTTCCTGAACAGTTTCTGGCGTCTTTGGAACGTTTTTTCGTCTCTTGGAGGATACCTGGTCAGCCAGGGAACTTGAGTCAGTTTTTGACCGTCGTTTAGGCATGGTCACAGCAATTTGTAAATAAATCAGAAATAAGATACTGAATTAATAAATATAAATTCAATATTTATTATTATTTTTTAATATAATTTATTTATTTATTAACATTATTTTATTATTATTATTCCTTATAATCAGTAAAGGTAATGTAAAGTAACATAAACAATCAACAGTTTGAAATTAAAATATTTGTGTTACTGGTTACTGGTACGAATAATCTACCTGTTAAAATCATTCTATAACTTTAAACTAGACCTAGATATCTTCAAAATCGAAATGATGATAGATTTAATTAATTGAATCAGCAACAGCATAATACTATCTTTATATTAGCGCAAGTCTACAAGGACATTAGCATCCGTTTCGTCACAACAGATTTCTTTTTCTTTTGTATTAATCTTCTTTTTTTAGCTCACCTGAGCATATGCTCAGGGTGATCTGTTAGGATCACTCTTCGTCCGTCGTACGTTGTCCGTTCACACTTTTCAAACGACATCTCCTCTGAAACCATAAGGCAGATCATAATGAAACTTCACAGGGATGTTCCTTGTGTGAAATATGATAAACAAGATCGACAAGGAAAGGCGGCATTCAATGAACGCAGCCCCCATCCGACCCAGCAACAAGCGTCAGCGGCAAGGAGCCCAGGAGGACTCCAAAGAAAAACAGGACAGGGCACACAAAGTTGTTCAAAGAATTCGATTCCATGCAGAACTCTGGTTGCCATGGCAACCAAAAGAAAAATCTTTAAACATCTTCTTCTAGAAAACCCAAAGAGCTAGAGCTAAGATATTTAGCATGAAACATCTTCTAGTGAGTGTCTACCAAGATTGTTCAAATAAAATCCATGGGGTCAAAATTGGCCCCGCACCAGGGGGTCATTGATTTTCCCTATATGAATACAGGAAAAACTTAAAAAAACCTTCTTTTAAAGAACCCAAAGAGCTAGAGCTAAGATATTAAGCATGAAACATCTTCTAATAAGTGTCTACCAAGATTGTTCAAATAAAAGTCCTGGGGTCAAAATTGGCCCCGCCTGAAGGGGTCATTGATTTTTCCCTGTATGCATATAGTAAAAACTTAAAAAAATTTCTTTTAAAGAACCCAAAAATCTAGAGCTAATATATTTAGCATGAAACATCTTCTAATCGATGTCTACCAAGTTTGTTCAAATAAAAGCCCTGGGGTCAAAATTGGCCCCGCCCCAGGGGGTCATTGATTTTTCCTAAATGCATATAGTAAAAACTTTAAAAAATCTTTTTTTAAAGAACCCAAAGAGCTAGAGCTAAGATATTAAGCATGAAACATCTTCTAATAAGTGTCTACCAAGATTGTTTAAATAAAAGTCATGGGGTCAAAATTGGCCCCACCCGAAGGGGTCATTGATTTTCCTTATATGCATATAGTAAAAACTTAATTAAATCTTCTTCTAAAAAAACCAAAGA